CACATTTCTCTAAGCAAAACGAACATTTGCATAGTACATTTTAGCCAATAGCTCCTTTCGTTTCATTAGTGTACCCGGCCCGAACATTCGTTGCGTGTTTGTGTAAAATATTGATGTACGGACAGGTGGAGAAATCGGCATAGAATCAGGATTACTTTGTGTCAGGCATGTACACACGTGAAATTTGTACTCATATTTCTCTAAGTTCATGAAGCGATAGCATAAAATGATTGTAATACTTTTTGAGATGTCCCTTCTAGCAAACAGCTTCTCGCGTCGCCGAGAAGTATACGCTTTATTTCAGTAGTTACATGAGGCCAACTTACAAGCGGCAGATTAAGTAAGCGGAAGGAGGGATAGGTCTGCAGTTCTTATGATGATTTGAGCTGGGCAAGCTGCGCCTTAGTAACGTCAGTCTCTTCCGGTTGTACTGTCATCGGTCGAACAACAGGCTGCTCTGGATACAAGTCGTGCACATAGCCGTTGGCCTTAGATGGTGCACCCCATTGAAAGACGACCGTTCGAGATGGATCATTTGTCGCGATTCCGATCAAGTTTTCTTGCGTACCTGCCTAACACTCACTCTTCTATGTTCGGCGAATTGCCCTTCTTGAAGGGACTTGTTGACCAACTGTAATCGCTACTCTGTTTCTGACGAGTGCTGTGTTGTTGCACCTGACTGATTCGAATCACCAGGTGAACACGCAAAAGGAGTTCCAGCCCATCTACCGGATACCAGACAGTACACGCGAATGGTCAGACGCCGTGTACTGACTTATCATCATCATTATACACGTTAGCTAGAGGTGGAAAACACTTCAGCTACTGTGCCGGAATATATAAGATAAGAAAAAAAAGAAAAAAGAAATGTAACAGGTGCATGCCACCTAAGTTGCCAGTAACGGATGGGCATGGTTCCGGAAAGCTACAAGCCGGCTACTATGCAACAACAAAAAGTATTATGCAAAGTTATGGTATGCTAAAAATGAGATTGTGGTTGGAGGAGTAGACCAAAAGGGATGGGGAGGAACGAAGAAACTGACAGTACGAACGCCACTGAGATCGGCTCTTAGCTATGTCAGCCAGTGTACATAGCCAAACGTGCGTCTACTGGCTACAGCAGTGGGAATCGCTATCCGATTCCAAAACTCTGAACTAGGTGCTCAAAAGGAACTCGTACAGGCCATTCAGCTGCCCTGGACACAACCCGCCTAGATCAACGATGGTGATCGCGTCATGCCACCTGGTTTAGCTATATTGATAAGCTATTTCAATCCTTTTATGCATCGCATGTTTTTAACTCTTCTATTGTGGTGTAGTAGCCAGAAGATAAGCAAATGAGAACGGGCTCGTCCGCTACATCTCATTTTTGAGGTTCCCCACGGGAATATTTTCTCAACATCACCTATTACTAGCGAGAGTTTGGTGCACCGGATGCTGATTGGAATCGCATTCGATGCGCGACGGGTAAAGCACACGAGATCGCTTCTTGGCTCAAGTTGAAGCGTCCGAATAATGGATCGATTTTCAGAGTTCTGATTAGCATTATTGAAGCCCGGAAGACGATTCCATCAGGACATCACTCCCAAAGCGCTCGTTTCATGCTGTGTGAATAGGGGAATCGGCTGGAGTAGTGGCGGATGACTGGACTCGCGAGATGGAGAAAGCCAATACTGATGGAACACCGGAATGTTGTTCGAACTCCTTTAAAATAAGTAATGTCTCCGTAAATGAAACGATGACTGAAAAGAGTGGACAACTGGTTCACTCTCAGTCACTTCGACGAGTACGCTGGGCTGAACACTTTGGAAAGTAGTACATTCGGCCTGGTGTGTCAGAAATAGCTGGGTCGCTCGAATCCACTTGAGAGGTTAGTGTACAAAGTCCCACTGTCGACGAGATCCGGCATGAGCTGGCACTGCCGAAGCGGAATGAGACATCTGGTCCAGATGTCCTTCCGTTGTTGGTGTTGAAGAAGGGTGGGGACACACTGGTGACTGCATCAGCTGCTCTGTTCCACACCAGCTGGTGCAAAAGGAAGTGTCTTCTACTTGTCGGGTATCAATCGTCATTCCCGTTTTCAACATAACCAAAGGGTAATCGTTGTGGTATCATTCTGGTCTGAGGTCCCCTTAAACTGCTAGTATGATGCGGCGGTTCACTGATCCTCGTGAGAAAGGAATCAGTGTGGTGGATGTTGTATTGATTACATTTGTTCACTTCACCTGGTGATCGATCAACACCACAATTACCAGCGCATATTAGGGTAATCGTCTTTGGGGTGAATGTTGTTTCTGATATGGTCAATCGTATCTACGATTGTGTCTGACTCGTTTCCCTCTATTATAAAGTGTCACCACGGGTCACGTAAAGGTCTACGGGAAATTATCCCATCTGTTCCAAAATTGTGACCGGAATGGTCACTAAAGTCTCCATTTGGTCCCCTTTCATTTCTTCTGGTGTAGTGATCCTTTTACGTGACCAATCGTCCCATTTAGAATAGGCAGACGACGCACCTCCCTCTGAATCGAAAACAGATACTATACAGGCGCTAATGAATATGCCAACCTGCAGTGCTATGCGCTCCGACAGGTGGTTCGAGCATTCAAAATGTAACCAAGCCGTTACATCACCCGTTTTCACAATGATAAAAGAACCGCTCGAAACGGTCGATTGGCTTACTTATTCAGTTAACTGCAGACACTTATGAAGAGGGTAGCACATAAGCTTAATGGGTAAGAGAGGGGTTCAAAACGTTGCAGTACGACAAATGTTAAGAGTCCGAGACATTGCCGCTGAACACTGAGGATATTAGGAGAAGGACAGTCTCCAACTCTCGATGCTCGCACTGTGTGTGTTAGGATAACCGAGTGAGCGGCACTGCAGCTCGTCAATTACCGTTCGGTAATAGGCCTTTCGGTAACCCCGTTGATAAACTATCTAACTTGGATCGCTTTCATTGGTTCGGTTATGTGCTTTGTGTGACAGCGAAGTGGCTGCCTCGAGGTGTTTTGTTTTCCAATACCGACACCAATTAGGTGAAATCCCGAGGTGGCAGATGGATCACAAGGCAGATGAGCATAACGAACGCTACCGAAAGGCTGAGTCTGATTGGCATTGTCGTCGCCTGGGATGGTGATTTCAGGATGGACCATAACAGTGGCTAGATACCCTACAGTAACGAAGTCAGCGGCGTTCTGGCACTCATCTAGCTGTGGTCTAAAGAACCACTCAGTCTCATGAGTTGGTTTCGCGTTCATTCCTCTTGAATTACCACTATTTTGGCGATGAGTGTCATGGTAACTGGATCCACCGCACAGTAATGAATGAGCCATAGTTAATAAACCGAAAGGAATTAAACTGCGGGAAGCTGTCCAGCAATTGCTTGCACGTTAGACATCCTTGATGTAGGTGTTGAGGTACGTAAATAAGAGTTGCCAGAACAAAACTATAGGAAGGTGAACTAATGGGAAAATTTCTGCCCTCCCCTCTTACGCTTAAGCTTTGTCAGTGTCTACCGGCTGTTAGGTTTCACCCGCCCCATAGAGCATCGGAAAAAAGATACAATGTGAGCAGTTGTAAAGCAACCGGAGTACATTACTTAGAAAACACAGATGGTTCGAGTTTGAGTTTCGGCACCAGGAAAGTAGTTGTGTACAAGCCAAACTAGTGGACCTCGGTATTGCACAATCGGTGGTCTCAACACATACAAGTAACACCAGTGAAAACGCTCAACCGCCCAATGTCGTATGCAAGCAGTTATCAATTCGTTGACCCGTACAGTAACGTTAAGCGTAAAAGCGGCATTGAACACTCAACTTTTGATTGATACACCAGTATTCGGCTAACTCTATAGATGACTGAAGTCTCAAGAAGTGAACGAAACGCAACATTACACGAAGTACGCAGAAGAATCGAATAAGAACGGAAGTCTCAAAGAAGAGTTGCGAAAAGGTCTGCGCCCATAATATGGCTCTACATGCAATCAAGTGTGACTAAAATTTAGGAGAGTTCAGAGCAGATGGATAGCATCCCGGATACTACGGGTGAAGGCGCATTCTATTACAAACTTTGCACAAAGTTAAGACGAAGGTGGTGAAAGCTCTTTGTTCCCAACGAAAGTAGAACGACATTCTGAAATGATTCGACCAACAGACGGTATACCTGAATTCACAAACATCAGAATGGGTTGACTGTGTGTGTGCCGTTCATTGCTTTCGTGTTCCGTATTTCAATGGTTGTGTCCAAATGTGTGAACGAAAAGAAGCAAGATGATGAGTTCGTTAAAAAGCTGTCCCTCTTCCCGAGGAGTCTCACAAAGAGCACAACGTGAACTGCACTTACAGCCACTTTCAACATGTAACAAGGTATTCTACCTACCGAGAACGCCATAAAGCAAGCGTGAATACACCGCAGTGAACATTCACGCGGCAGTAGCGTAGAAATGCACACCGACACACTTACCTAGACGTCAGCATAAGTTATCCGTTGCGGACAACACATCTATCTCTTTCTGTCGCAAGCCAGATGGTCAAAATGCTACAACTAATTGCTCCAAATGATAAGAAACAGAGATTCATGTGGCCCATGATATACAAAGTGATGGGCTTCGCATGCAGACTGTCAAAGAAGCAAGCTGTGCAGAGAGTCCTGGTAAGTCTGAAAGTAGCTTGGGGCAAAAGTTGTTCATTTGTTATATAAATACAAGCCAATTGAAGTAGGAACTTCTTCGAAGGCAGAGAACCTACACAATGGTGAGGCGCTAAGCTTCAAAGTTGGTCTGTGGTCAAGATGGAGTCTCAGCCGAGTCATCTTACTTGGGGAAAACGAAATGAGGAAGAATAACAGGAGCAGTAAAGTGTTGGAAAAGTAAAACTGAAAACGTCTGTACAAGGATAATATCACTCTGAGAAGACCAACAAGGGTTTCATAATCAGTAATTTGTAAAAAGGAAAATTCCATATTAGATAGGGCGTATATTGGGCTATAAGCTCACGTACTTTGAATCCAGACTTGTTAAGACCAGGATTGGTTCGCCTGATGTAAAGCAGACTGCACACGGCGAGCGCAGAAACCACAGTAAATGCGAATCCAGTGAGTTCGATGAGAACGAATACGTCGTCGTAAAATTGAAAAATTAAAGCCAGGATGATCTAAAGCAAGGTGAAAACATATAGGAATAATTATTCAGACAAGTCAAGGGAATGCATGTATCAAGCACAATTACGGACACCGGAATGAATCCGTACTGAAGTTTACCAGCGGAAGAAATGTGCATAATAGCTGACTGATACAGTGAAATACCAGTATACCAAACGTTTTGGGAAAACGAAAATTAATTCGTTGTAGTGAAATTTCGCAGTACTAAAACAATTCAATACCCGAATAACATACCGTAATTGCGCATTTTCTACAGTAGTTTAGCATGTCAAATGTCGTATCTTACCGATAGACAATGCTCTGGGCTACATTTTTCGAAAACAGTTGTGATTTTGATACGCAATCTTCTAACAAAGGAAATACAGAATAAAGGAGAGGCCTTATAAATTTCCTATTGGGGATATCTCGTTATAATGGCGTTTTTTATCGCGACTATTCGTTGTACCAAGCGAGCGCGAGTTACCAGAAGAATTGAGAAACCTAAACTGCTCATGAAAGAGAGAAAACACTGGGGGAAAACGCTGGGTACGATAGCAGTTCTGCTTCGTTCAAAAACAGAATGCCCATTTGGTTGTCAAATCCGAGAAGAAACGTAAGCAGAACGCTTAGGGCGAACAATTGTTTTCGATTTCTTCCTCATCAAGCCTAGTACAGTAATATACTTATGAACAAGCAGACAGTATAGAGACACACAATTGATTAGATAAAATTTAGCTTGAACAGTTCTCGTGATAAGCGTCAGATGATCAGGTGATTGGCGGCACGTGGAATTGATGGGCGACAGCGAAATCCCTCTCGTGTGGTTGATGGCCATGGAAGTTGCAATGCTTGAATGAGCTCCTTTTGGATGTAGAGATTAGGCTTTATCAGTCTTATGCTTACTGCTTCAGCAGTAGCAAGTCGTGCTGCTAACTGATGGGTCAAGTGTGACGGTACCTTATACAGGATTTCGAAGGCACTACTTCTGTCAGTGTTGTGCCCAGTGGCAATCAGATGGTTAGTAATTGCACTTAGATTAGATCTGTCTCGACGATTGGTGAGCGAATTCGGTAGGTGCTCCTTGATTCGATTTTCTAAGTGCCTGGTCATGCGTCCAATATATACCACCGCGACCTGACAGGCAGTCACCGACATGTTCCATGGACAAGCGATGTGAAAAATTGGTGCCAAGTTTAGTTACAAACCAGCCACTGCGAACCGGTCATCACTAGTCATACGAGGACATTTGACAAGTTGCATCAATTACGATGGCACGGATTGCGATAGAAGCCTAGAAAGTTAGGAGCCCGGGTAAACATTTGATCATTACGATGGCCACTCTTGGATGTACAATAAGGGCGAAAGATGCACAGTTTGCGAAAATGACAGGGGTCATCAACAGTGAGTAAATTGGCCCGAAACGGACATTAAACATGATAAAGCGCAAAAGACTGTTCAGAAACAGTTAGATCTGATATGAGACGAAATGGTATTAATTAGGAGTGTGACAAACACTGGGAAAGTTCATGGGTACGCTGAGACCTGTGATGGCTAGATCCTGACCAGCTGATCTCAGCGTAGTGCCGTGGATTTATGCCCTGGACGCTTTCTCGTGGCGACCTCTCGGTGGGAGTTGGGTTACATCGTTCTTCCAGCAAAGAGCCGGGACATGCACAATTCCGCGTGTGTCGGTTCACCGGCTTATTGAGCACGCCTGGCTGTCTATCGGCTGCTCATTTTATCGAAGTCTTTAGCTGAGAATCTGAGTAGCCTTCCTGTTCGGGTGTGGACGCTCTGACAGCATTTAGCTTATGCCCATATAGACAAGCTCATTGTTCATCGGCCGTCGCGTAGCGGTGGGGGACCGAAAAGCGTCGCCTTGCCCGCTGCATGCAACGGGGTGGATAAGTGAGAACATGCTACCGCAGACACATCACTTATTTCTTCTTCCCATGCACATACTATCCCCAACCCCATTTCATCTAAGCAAATAATTCCTCCAACACAGATCACCACACGATCGATTGCCCGCCACCGCAATCTTATGCCCGCGCAAAGCACTCAACATCAGGTGGTGGAATGTGCGCACACTGTACGAGCGGCACATGAGTGAGCGACCTGAGTGAAGCGCTGCACCGGTCACGATAGAATTCGCGCGCTACCGTATCGTCAATGCTGCACTCAGCGAGACTCGGCTTGTGGACCATTATTATCATTAATATTAATCTTATTATACACGTGAGCGGCAAGTGGAAAACACCTCAGATATTGTACCGCAATGGAAGAAAAAATGCAACATAGGTACGCCGGCTGAGTGACCAGTAACGGACGGACATCGTTCCAGAGCTAACAGCCGGCTATAGTGCCGAAAAAAGTTATATTATGCCTAATAAATGTGATCGTGGTTGGAGTGGGAGGCTAAACGGGAGAGGGAGGGACAAGGAAACACAAGAAACGCCACCCAGGTAGGCTCCTAGCCATCTCAAGAAGTGTATTCATCTAAACGTGCTCATCGTTCTTCGGTTCCCAACCAGGGAGCCTGGAGGTTCCAACTGGGCCAACTTTGAAGTAAGGGCCTTCATTGCTCTTGATCAAGTTATCGCTTGGTCATCCCTTCTTTTCTTTCATCCACACCCCCGGTGCGCAAACAACGCATGTCGCGGGAGTCGGCATGCTGGCATGCGCAACACGTGGCCCAGCCATCGGAGCATGATGCGCGTAATAACGGTGCTGAGCGGTGCGCTACTTTTTCCTACGCCATAAACAAGGCGTCGAACACGCTCATCGTTCACCCGGTGTTCCCACTAGATATGAGCCAAAATGAGAAGGCACCGGTGGCCCAACGTAACTAGCCTCTTGACGTCGGCTGATCTAATAGGCGAGGTTTCACTACCGTACAACAGGGTGGAACGTACGACTGCACTCTACCAGTCAAAGAGAGAGTGATGTCGCGCCGGCGCCATGGGTGGCGAAGGTTGGCAAAAGCGCCTCGTCTTCAATTCAAACGGCGCTGATAAAAGTGCCTAGGTAGTTAAACTTTTGAACGACTTCTAGCTGATCTCCATTAAGGATAAGTGCAGGCGACGGTCCTTGCCAATCTTGGAGGAACACTTTGCGTTACAAAGCATAGCCCGAAACGGTTGGCAACCAGTGCTCATCTGCCCAGAGCCGCTTGGCATGTTTATGAGATGTTACATATGAGGGCAATGTAGTCAACACACCACAAGTCAACAAGTTGTTTACCTGGGAGTGGCTACACATGTTCTAAGTCGTGTCCTGTGAAAGCGGACCATAGCAAGCCGCATGAGGCTGGTGCTGGGTGAAGAACATCACCTAAACACCAACACTGGTGGACATAATTTAGTAGCATTATAACAGGTTCACCTTTACTTTCTCCACAGGTTCAAAGTCAAGGAATTTGATTTGGGGAATCGGAAGACAATACCGCGGATTGCAGGCGAACAACACCGTAGTCGAGGAATTTGTGGTGAGGCCCATCGAGGCTTGTCATGAAATCGAACAGTGCATTCTTTTTTAATGACAGCAGCAAAGAATGGCAGAAAACCATACTGGGCTACCGCGAAAGGAGCAAGACGGACAGGATGACCGAAACATACAACTTGGCTCCAAAGCATGTTTCGAAAGAGGATATGGATGCGCTTTGTCGTAAGAAAAGCGGTATAAAACGCATTGCCGTTAACTGAGAATCTGAAAACGACGCGAGGATAACGACAGAGAGAAGGGTTTTCACTCATTCGTGCGCCCAGTGGTTGCTCGGTCCGTTTATAATGTACTTTATGCATAACCGCGTCGATCAAACCTGATAAGCAGCTTAACTTAATTAAACAACCTAGCTAAAAAGGCGTGACTACTTACCATGATGACATTGAATGAGCGGTATTGCCCAACGCATGGAGCGTGGTCAACGAGTCGCGGTGTGGTAGAGCTATAAGTTAGGACTACAGGGTGAAACGTGGCCGAATTGGCGGTGTGGAAGATATCACAGCCTGCTCCATTAGCAACGAAGAGTTTTGCAACGTAAGCTAAAGTCAAAAAGCCACATATCCAAAAGGAAATTTGTAAAAACGTGGACCTATTGGGTTAGTTAGTTTAGTCAACTTAACTGTCACACCCGCATATGTAGGGATCTAGACTAGCCAACGAATTTGATCATAAAATAGACGGTGAACGATACACGAGACCGAATAGATCAAGATTCACCTGACATCAACTGCTTTCGTACAGTCCCATGGAGGTTGGACAAACAATTTAGGTAAACAGTAAAGTGATGGGCACTGACAAGTCGACACGAGCAGCCGTTGCGTAGAACACAAGTTAGCTACGTGGAAATATTATGCGCCTATTCGAATCAGGCCACGTCTGTTGGAGTGGTTGTTCAGCTTCCAATTCTGTTGCACCATCTGACTCAGGAATTGCAGACTTCATGGTGCCGCGGAAATATTAAGTGTAAATTTGTGAAGTGCTAAGTGACCAAGTCAACATTTGCCCTCCCTTCCTCTTTTTCTATCCGCACCCCCCCCCCGGGCAAACAACACTCATCGCAGGAGTCGGTGTGCTGGCATGCTCAACACATCGCCCGGCCATCGGATGTTTGCATTGAGCGATGGCGATACCGAGAGCATCTTGATTCATTGATTCAGTATCGCGAGACACGAAGAATGTTGTCATTGTCAGCAGATTCGGAACCAAGGAGTCGAAAATTAATCACAACGCTATTGCATGCGTGTTTCGGAGACAGCACGCATCAATACCAAGAGAGGGACGAGTGAGGGTAATGCTGCCTGTTGATCGATCTGACCGAGTGCGGAGGTTTAAAGAACGAATATGAAATGTGACTGTAGGCTTGCTGGACGAGGTGCACGTATACATGGCAGCGGCTCCGGGATCAGCAGTGATCTTGCTCAATGGACGGAAAAGAAGTGATTAATAGTGAGAAGAAAAGGAATAGAAGAATAAGTATTGTCGACGGGGTTGATGAAGCAGACAATACTCT